CTTGGAGTGCAATGACTTTCTTGGTTAACACTTAACAACTCATAAGAATCGTAGGAACGTCAGAGTCTGGAAAGGGATAATCTTTTGCTTGTAACTCCTTCAAGGTAGATTGATTTTTCACTTCTCGCATTTGTGGATGTGTCGCGATCTCTTTCAACTTTTGTCTCGTGGAGTCCTTCGTAGAAGTTGTGGTTACCGTCATGGACTCATTAGTTGTGTATTCTAATGACTCCTTCAAATTTGTATCATCTTTTCTTGAATCAAAGCATGTGATGTTTTTCCATGACTTGCAATGCTTAACTCCATGTCATGAGTGCGTGTAGCTAGTTCTTCAAAAGTCCGAGGCTTAATTCCTTGAAGGATATATACAAGGCCCCAATGCATTCCTTGTATACAAATTTCAATTGCAGAGATTTCAGAAAGTTGGTCCTTACAATCTAAGCTCAACATTCGCCAACGATTGATGTAGTCCACTACGGGTTCATCCTTACTTTGTTTAGTGTTTGTCAATTCCATCATGCTCATTGTACGGCGGGTACTGTAGAAACAATTGAGAAATTCATTTTCTAGTTGCTCTCAATAATCAATTGATTCAGGCTCCAAGTTTGTATACCAATCAAAGGCATTTTATTTTAAAGAACGAACAAACTGCTTGACAAGAAGATCACCATGTGTACCGACACTGCTACAAGTCTCGACAAAATGGGCAATAGTTGCCTTGGATTTTCCCTTCCATCAAATTGTTGCAATTTTAGTGGTTGATATCCAATTGGCATCAGTAGACCCTCAATTCGCTTAGAATACGACTTTGAATATCCTAAGGAACTTTATGGCGGGCCACCATATTGAGCTTTAATTGTGTTTGCGATCATATCTTGTAGTTGTTGAACTGTTAGAGTGGCCACTGAAGCAAATCACTTTGCACTTTGAGAGTCAACTAGCTTGGTGGGAGAATCAACATCAACTTTTTCTTGCGTTGTTAGATTGTGATGTGACTCTCTAGATTTGTAGAGATCTAACTTGCTCATAAGTTGGGCGATTTGGAGATTTTTGTCATCAATAGACTTCTTCAAGGCTTCAATGGTTTGCTACATCATTGCAAACTTCTTGTCCATGTTAGGTGCGTCAACCATCATGGAGTTAACCTTTGTTGAAATTGAAGAATCCATTGAATTCTTAAATTCACAAAAATTGAAGCCAGAGTGAGAAAGTTCATCAAACAACTTAGATGCAATGTTGCCCCCAAGGATTGTAGTTTTGAATGTCATTTGACACTTGATCTTTCTTGCCATCTCCAAGGAGGTGAAATATTCAGATCCATTCAAGGCATTTGTCTTGAACTCGCGTCCAGTGATTGGATCAACATCACTAAAATCAACAAATGTGGCAATAGTAGAGTCCTTGCATGAAACATCATTGATCTTCTTGAAGGCCATTGCAAAGTTGAACTTGTTGTTTTTTTTATTTGTAGGAGGAAGAGATGAAGAGCAGAATCGATCCCACTGGGCGTGTCAAATTTGTTCGCAACAAATTTTCGTAAGCGCTGCAACTTATCTGCAAGAAAAATAAATAAAAGAAAATGTTATTTTTATTGATGAATCTTGTGAGTACAATTTTGTTATTCTCTTGATTTTTCTCTCCTAAACTTCTCCATGATTCGAGAGCCTTCAGTAGCGTATTTCTCGAATGTAGGATGATGTAGACATCCTTAAGATGTATTTGATCTCCGAGAACGTCGGAAAGCACTTCGTTGTTTCAAGTCGATCTCCGAGAAGAACTTCGTTGATCACTCCTTCGAAGAGCTATGTAGTTGATGTTGTAGCTTTCTCCAATTGCAGAATGCTTCTTCAAGAGTTTTCTTCCCCTTTGAATGTCATGTCTATCCCATATTTATAGTTGTAGAGAGTGCACAAGGTTGCTTGTGATTGGCCAAAGGATGTCATTTTGACACTTGGCGAATTGTGATTGGTTCTTGCATTTGACTGAGACTACCACCTCATTTGGACACATGACGTCACCTTGTTGGTCTTAGATGCCTAGTCACTGTGACATGTGGCATGAATTTGGGCTTCAAGGTGAAATGGACCTTGGACTTGAATTTAATAAAAATGGACTTATTTATTTGTAAAGCCCAAATTAATCATTCAACCCAAATAAACATGGATTTAATCCAAATTTTGTATGAATTAAATCCAATAAAATTTGTGTGTCTACAGGTGTGCCAAATTAAATAGTGACAAGTAAAAGTGAAAGGAAGGAGAATTAGATATTTAATTAGAAATTAATACAATAAAGTCCAAAAGTCAATACACATTTATATAATTAAAATGATATAATTTAATATTTAAATAATTAAATATTTTATAACATTTTAATTTATAGCAAAGATAAAATCATAATTGACCTTTTAACTTTGAGTCTTCCCACTTTTAATCGTAATTCACATTTTAACTTTGAGTCTTCCCACTTTTGATAATATATGAAATAAATAAATAGATAGATAAAATAATAGAAAAATCAACCACCTTTGCATACAACCCTGCCTCTATTTATGTGGTACAGCCTTTTCTAAAATCAATTCCAAAAGAAAGTCATCTTTCTGTAATTAGAAATAATTTAACTTTTAATTACTCCTTTCATGCACTTTTACTTGTCACTTTTAACATATCAAGAAAAGACAATAATATTTTTCCATGTTTACCCTCAACATTAAATACTTATTTTTAAATTATTTTCAAGGCATCATTTAATAGGGATAGTTTTGTAAAATACCTATATCAATAATTATTTTCTTAATGAGTGTGTCAAGTAAAATTGAACGGAGGAAGTATTTTTTTTTGCCCTTATTAAAATGATTTATACTCACATAAATGTTTAATGATTGTTTTAGATCACAAATTTCAAAAGTTTTTCTTTTTACTTGAACTTTGTATTAAATCAAACAATGACACACAAATTGGGACATATGGAGTAATAATAAATTTGTCCCAATTTATGTTGTACATATTCTTTTTTAGTTTGATCAGAAAAAAATATTTTTATATTTGAAAATAATTTAATTTTAAAAATTTTAATTAGTTACTTACCAACGTATATGTATAGACAACAAAAAATATTTTCAATAAAATGTACATAAGTATTAATATATATATATATATATATATATATATATCAAATTGCTTTATCTAATTTTTCCAATTTTAATTACTCTTAATTATATAAAATGATATATAATAATACAAATGTGTGCACAAATTTCAAAAGTCTTTCCCTGCCAGGGCCGTCTTAACCACTAGGCCACTAAAGTCATCGCTTGGGGCTCCATATTTTTTGGGCCCCCAATTTTTTAAAAAAAATACTTATACATATTACTTAAAATTATATGTATTTTTAAATTTTAAAAAAAAACATGTAAGAAGTATAAAAAAAAACAAAATAACCGTTAGTTTTCCCCACTTTTCTAAGGGAATGAAACATTTTTTGAAAATAATTTCCTTAAGTGGGAAATTGTGTTTCCTTATTTATCTCCTAAAAAATTGACCTTATATTATTATTTACCTTATACTCATCTTTTTTATTCTCTATTTTATTATTTTTATTCTCAATATTGAACTCTCTCCTTAAAAAAATGATTTACTGTTGCTTACAAGTTAAAAAGGAACAAAATTTTCTTTTGAGTGTCTTCTTCAAAATCTTAAGATGTGCAATAAGCAATCATTATATTGAAGGAACGCAACACTATTTCAATATTGTTATATCAACTTATCAAATTCGTGAGCCAGGTTTTATTATTCTAACTTTATTTTATAATTTTTCTTGAACTTTTGTTACTGTTGATATTCTTAGTTAGTAAGTATATATATTCTCGTTTTAGTTATTATTAAGAGAAATAATACAAGTAGAAGATAATGGTTTAATGGAAATACTTAATCAAATAAAAAGACTTGATTATTTTCCTAATGCATATTTTGCTTATAGAATAATGTTAACAATTCCTACAACTGTGGCCTCGGTTGAAAGAAGTTTTTCGAAACTAAAATTGATAAAATCTAATCTAAGATCAACAATGTGAGATTGAATGCATTAGCTATATTATTAATTGAAAAGGAATTACTAAAACAAATCGATTAGAAAACAGTAATAAATGACTTCACATCTAAAAATGCTAGAAAAATAGATTTTAGATAAATATATACATGATTATTTTTTTTGAAAAAAAAAGAATTAAAAAAAATAGAGCAACTTTCACATATAGCAAACATAAAAATCATATTTGTATGCTATAGCTATAGTTCGCAGCAAATTTTATGTTCGCAATGGAGCTTTTGATTTGTATAATTTGCTAGAAACATCCAACTTTATTCAAATTGTTCAGTTTTGTATAAATTCATGTATACATTGTAATTTGTAAAATAAGATCTGTATTTGTATAATTATAAGTGTATAGGACGAAAATATATGTATTTGTATTTGTATTTGTATATACACTTTTCTCTTGCTTTATATAAACACAAACGCATTTTATACATTTTATACCGAAATGTATAAAATGCCTAATTATATACCGAAAATGGCTAATTGTATATCGAATCTTATGGCAAAAAAATGAAATGTTTGCTGTGAATTACAATTAAAATAAATTATGGCTATAGCGTTTAATTTGAATTAATAGTTTGTTATTTCATACAATTTTCCCAAAAAAAATATTAGGGCCCTTCTTTAAGGTTTGACTTTAGGCCCCCGATCTTGTTGAGTCGGCCATGTTCTCTGCCTTAATATTAATTGTATGTCAAGTCAATCAAGATTACGTAAATTGAAACAGAGCAAAATATGAAAGTACAAAGTAGGAGAGTAGTACATCTAAACATGAATGGATACATAAATTATGTATGTTTGTCCACTTCTTGGTCTTTGTTGATGATCTTGGCATAATTCTTGGAATGAAAATCAAGAAAGAGCACTAAAGGTGAGGCATTAAAAGCAATACCAATACTGTTATGTCCTGTATTCAGGTTAGTCAAAAATATAGAAACAGAAAAAAAATGAAATAGCAGAATGTAAGTAATACGAGTCTACAGAAACCACTGTGTTTCCTTAAGAAATTTAATCGCCTCATTGTACCTGAGGTTGCAGATTAATTCCTCCCAAGATAAAACGGATTAACCTATTAGAGAAGTAGCGGTACCTCAAACTTCACTAATTTCAGCGAACGCAAGAACAACAACGAGAGCACATACAAACTCAATCGATCGACAATTTTATTTATGTAAGAAAATATATGCAGAGAGGAAAATTTTTCAGTGTTTGAAAAACGAAAAGGACCTCTTATTTATAGCCTTTTGTAGAAAGGAATGCGTCTATTCAGACAAATCTGTTCAGACCCATTTTTTCCAGAATGTTGTGTCTTTTGGGAAAAGTAACGATTTTTCGAAAGGAACAAGTCTCTTCAAAACGTTTTTACCGTTACACGCGAATTTCGAATAAATTACATTGCGCCAAATTAATTTTGTTATTTAACTAACATTCTGAATTAATTTATAAGAGAAAGGAAATCGATTAACAAGATTGATTAAATAAATTTTGTCCAAAAATATTATCAATCAATCACATCATTTACCAAATCCCCGAAGTCGAGGCCAAGAGAGCGACGACGACGACGCGAGGGAGCACCTTCTTCTTAACCCTTTAAGAACTAAAGGAAGTGTTTCCTAATATAAGGACAACAATTTCCTTTCTTCTACCAATATGGGAGAAATGACTTTTCATTTGCATTTTACAATGACTTTTCATTTTCCCTCCAAAATTGGTTCCTCCACTTTTCTATTTTCTCTTCTTATTTCTCATTCACACCTTGCTAAAACCCAACAATCCCCACATGAATGGGGAATGACTATTGTTAAAACATATGCATGAAAAACTTGTGTGTCTCCTTTTTAAACTTTCCATAGTGAACATATATCGGATATACTCGGTCAATCGGTAGATTTGATATCTTTTGAACCGCCGAGCTTTGGTGTATACCTAGACGACATAAGTCACACAATCAACCCTTGAACTATTTTTTGGTTCTCATTGTTTTGTTTGTTTCAGCCATGAACACATCTCGGTTAATAAGTGCTTAGAGAACTGGCCTTACCGGATTCTCCTTGAAGCGGCTTACACTTCACACTTACATAGGTGGTTTCTAAATGTGTTATCCCATAGATACACTATTTGATATACCCTGTATCAAACTTAGAAACCATTAAAAAGTCCTTATGCCTTTATCCTGGTTACTGAACATTGTCTCATCATGAGAATGGACCATAAAATAATTTTTGACAATATTGAACCGTCATCTATGACTTTGTTTTATCTCCTTGAACCTAGATCTTGGGATCTCCAGTTTTCTAGGTAGAGTTACCGCCACGATGACTTGTTCTCGGCCATATTCCCATTCCCATCGATAATCTCTCAACTCCTTCTCTAGTTAAGTCGTTTGTTAGTGGATCCGACACATTATCATTTGACTTTACATAGTCAATTGTGATAATTCCACTAGAGAGTAGTTTTCTAACAGAGTTATGTCTTTGTCTTATGTGACGAGACTTCCCGTTATACGTAACGCTTCCAACCCTTCTTATTGCAGCTTGACTATCGTTGTGTATGCATATAAGGGTCATTGGTTTGGGCCAAAACGGAATATCTTCTAAGAAATTTCGGAGCCATTCAACTTCTTCACCTGCCTTATCTAAGGCAATGAATTCAGACTCCATTGTAGAGAGAGCTATACAAGTTTGTTTGGATGATTTCCAAAATATTGCTCCTCCACCAATAGTGAAAACATATCCACTTGTGGATTTCGTTTCAGTTGGCCCAGTAATCCAATTTGCATCACTATATCATTCAAGAACTGCTGGATATTTGTTGTAATGCAATGCATAGTTTTGAGTGTCATCTAAGTACCCCAACACTCTCTTCATTGCCATCCAATGATTTTGATTGAGATTACTTGTGTATCGACTCAGTTTACTTATAGCGCAGGCGATGTCTGGTCGTGTACAATTTATGACATACATCAAACTTTCCAATACTCTGGCATAATCCAATTGAGACTGACTTTCACCTTTATTCTTAGCAAGATTAAGGTTCATATCAATTGGGGTCTTTGCCTTTTTGAAATTCAAATACTTGAACTTTTCAAGTACCTTTTGAATATAATGAGATTGAGACAATGCTAGACCATTAGGAGTTTTGTGAATCTTAATTCCCAATATCAAATCGGCAACTCCTAGATCTTTCATATCAAACTTACTAACGAGCATATGCTTAGTAGCTTTTACATTGGCAATGTACTTGCTCATTATCAGCATGTCATCCACATATAGGCATACAATGACTTCCTGATTCGCAATGTCTTTAATGTAATCACATTCATTGATCTTAAATCCATTTGACAACATGGTTTGATCAAATTTGCATGTCATTATTTTGGTGCTTGTTTTAGTCCATAAAGTGACTTAACAAGTTTATATACTTTCTTTTCTTTATCGGGAACTATGAAACGCTCAGGTTGTTCCATGTAAATCTCTTCCTCCAGCTCTCCATTTAAGAAGGCGATTTTCACATCCATTTGATGAATTTCAAGACTGTATATTGCAGCTAGGGAAATTAACATCTGAATTGATGTAATCCTAGTCACTGGCGAGTATGTGTCAAAATAATCAAGACCTTCTTTCTATCTAAAGTCTTTGGCAACAAGTCTTGCTTTATATTTGTCAATAGTTCCATCATCTTTCATCTTCCTTTTGAAGATCCATTTTGAACCCAAGGGTTTATTCCCTGGAGGAAGATCAACCAACTCCCACGTATGATTGCTTAGGATTGATTCAATCTCACTATTGAAAGCCTCCTTCCAAAAGGTTGAGTAGCTAGACAACATCGCTTCCTTGAATGTTTGAGGCTCACTTTCAAGAAGGAATGTTACAAAATCAGATCCAAATGAAGTAGTTGTCCTTTGACGTTTACTGCGCCTTGGACTCTCTTCATTGGTTTCATTCTCTTTTGGTTCTTCTCGAGGTTGTTTAGACCCCCCATTAGATGACTGAAGTCTAGTTTTATACGGATAGATATGTTCAAAAAATTCAGCATTATCTGATTCCATTACCGTATTATCATGAATATCAGAATGTTTGGACTTATGAACCAAAAATCGACATGCCTTATTATTTGTGGCATATCCAATGAATACACAATCCACAGTCTTAGGCCCTATTTTCACCCTCTTAGGTATAGGAACCTGGACTTTGGCTAGACACCCCCACACTTTGAAATATATCAAATAGGGTTTTCTACCTTTCCATTTCTCATATGGAATAGTGTCTTCATGTGAGGCACTCTATTGAGTATTCGATTTGCTGTAAGGATAGCTTCCCTCCACAAGTTTTGTGGTAAACGTGAACTTATAAGTAAGGCATTCATCATTTCCTTTAAAGTTCAGTTTTTCCTTTCCGCAATTCCATTAGATTGAGGAGAGTAAAGAGAGTAGTTTGATAGATTATTCCATTTTCCAAACATATTTCTGCAACTGGAGATTCATATTCTCCACCTCTATCACTTCTGATCATTTTGATCTTTCTATCCAACTGATTTTCAACTTCAGTTTTATATTGCCTAAATGCATCTATTGCTTCATCCTTACCATTTAGCAAATAGACATAACAATATCTAGTGCAATCGTCAATAAAAATTATGAAATACTTTTTTTCACCACGTGATGGTGTTGCCTTCATGTCACAAATGTCAGTGTGAATCAGTTCTAAGGGATATGAATTCCTTTCAACAGATTTATAAAGATGCTTAGCATAGTTAGATTCAATGCAAACTTGACATTTTGATTTATTGCACTCAAATTTAGGCAAAACATTTAAGTTAATTAGTTTTCGCAAGGTTTTGTTATTAACGTGTCCCAAACGTTCATGCCATAAACATTTAGACTCAAGCAAGTAAGAAGAAGCAAAATCTTTATTCATATCAACTGCAATTACATTGAATTTAAAGAGGCCCTCAGTAAGGTAACATTTTCCTACATACATTTCATTCTTACTCACTACAACTTTATTAGAAACAAATACACATTTGATTATGTTCTTAGTCAGAACTGGTATAGAAACTATTTTTTTCCAATTCCAAAACATACAAGACCCTGTTCAAAGTCACCACTTTGCCCGATGTCATCTTTAAGAGGACCTTGCCAGTTCCTTCCACCTTTGCAACAATAGAGTTTGCCATAAACAACTTCTCATATGTATGTGATGGAGTATATGATGAAAATAATTTTTTGTTGGCACAAATATGGCATGAGGCACCAGAATCTATCTACCATTCTCTTGAATTTCAAACCAAGTTGCATTCTGAAAGCATTGCACAGAGATTATCCATCTCTCTTTTGGATTCAACCAAATTTGCTTGATCCTTCTTCTTGTCCTTCTTGGGACCCCGACATTCAGTAGCCCTATGACCACGTTTGCCACAATTGAAGCAGCTTCCATTGAATTTCTTCTTAGGAGGATTGCTCTTTGGACTAGATGTTTTCTTTCTTTTCTTTGATTTTGTGGGATCTTCTTCAACAATATTTACTCCAGATATTGCTGAATTGCCACGTGACCTCTTTTCTGCGGCCTTGTTATCCTCTTCGATTCTTAGCCTTACCATGAGATCTTCAACAGTCATCTCCTTGCGCTTATGTTTCAAGTAGTTTTTGAAGTCATTCCACAATGGGGGTAACTTCTCAATAATGGCAGCCACTTGAAAAACATCATTCACAACAATCCTATATTAAAGATTATGTGAGTATTAAGAATAGACTTAATATTTCCAACATAGGCATTAAATAAATTTATACCTTCAGCAAAGAGATCATGGATTATGACCTACAGTTCTTGAACTTAGGTGACGACAGTCTTACTGTCTATCATCTTATAGTCCAGAAACTTTGCCACAATGAACTTCTTCATTTCGGCATCCTCTGTTTTGTACTTCTTTTCTAATGCATCCCAGAGTTCTTTTGAGGTCTTGACATTATTGTACACATTGTACATATCATCTTGCAGGCCACTCAGAATATAGTTTCTACACAAAAAATCTGAATGTGTCCATGCTTCTGTTACCAAGAATCGTTCTTCGGCCAGAGTTTCATCTTACATAACATAAATGTTCTCATTAATGAACCTCTGCAGACTCAACGTAGTCAGATAGAAGAACATCTTCTGTTGCCATCTCTTGAAGTCAACTCCAAAAAACTTTGCAGGTTTCTCAGCTGGTGCTAGGGCAGCAGTTGAACGATTGTGTGCAACCGATGTTATTGCAGCACTCACTGTTCCAGAATTTACTTGACTTGAATTAGTCATTTTTCTGTCACAAATGGCAGACAATTTTAGTATGTGAAATACTAACAGTAAAGAATAAATTCTTACACAGCCTGTTTCTGATTTAATGATAAAGTTTTTATGTTCTTTTAATCGTTAATCGAATGAATTTTAAAAATTCAAACATAGTAGAAAATTATAAAGGTTTTAATCTCCAGAAACCTCAAATACAGAAACTAATTAAATTTCTTAAGATTGTTATGTCATGTCTTCAGGTTAGTCAAAAATACAGAAACAGAAAAAAGATGAAATAGACAGAATGTAAGTAATCTGAGTCCACAGAAACCACTGTGTTTCCTTAAGAAATTTAATCCTCTCACTGTACCCGAGGTTGCAGATTAATTCCTCCCAAGATAAAACAGATTAACCTATTAGAGAAGTAGCGGTACCTCAAACTTCACTAGTTTCAGCGAACGCAAGAACATCAACGAGATCACACACAGACTCAGTTGATGGACAATTTTATTTATGTAAGAAAATGTATGCAGAGAGGAAAAAATTTCAGTGTTTGAAAAATGAAAAAGACCTCTTAACTAACATTCTGAATTAATTTATAAGAGAAAATATTATCAATCAATCATTTGCCAAATCCAAATTCAAATCCGAGCGAGCGACGACGAAGGTGCGAGGGGCACCTTCTTCTTAACCCTTTAAGAACTAAAGGAAGTGTTTCCTAATATAAGGACAACAATTTCCTTTCTTCTACCAATATGGGAGAAATGACTTTTTATTTGCACTTTGCAATGACTTTTCATTTTCTCTCCGAAATTGGTTCCCCCACTTTTTCATTTTCTCTTCTTTTTTCCCATTCACACCTTGCTAAAACCCAACAAATACACCATACCCTAACTCCAGTGCATCCAAACTCAGTTGTAAAGTGATAATACAACATCATAGCTGATAGTAGAAACCCAGTCATAAATTGTACTATTTGACAATTTGTGACGACTTTTTTCCACCGTGGTCTTTTTCCTATAGCAGATAGGAAATAATAAGCATACATTATAACATGAATCGAAGCATTAATAATAACAGCAACACTCGACATGGACTGCGCAAATTGAAGCCCAATATAACCAAGAACAGGCACAACTGTATGGTGATAGACATGGAGGAACGATAGCCTTCGTGATCTAGAACTACTAAGGACGATTAAAAGTGTATCGATAAATTCAAGAATATTTGAAAGGTAACATATATAAATCCAAAAGAACACAGGTCCACGTGGAAGAGTATGATTTGCACCGGGGAAACATATGATCCACTTCCAATCATGAGGTGGCATTTGGTGTAGGACAGAAAGGATGGAGGCAATAACCATGAGTAGAGAGAGGAGACAGAGAATGAGGCTGTGGATCGCGGTAATGTTGCGAATGGTGGTGGTAGTGAGGGTAGGGATAAATGTAGGGAAACGGAGCAACAAGTGAGTCAGATATAAGTAAACAGACACTGAAATTATAAGAAAAGATTTGGAGGAATTGAATGTATGACCTTGTTTCCATTCAAATTGACTGATTTTTGGATGATCAACAAGCCAATAATGGATGTTGGAGTAAAGAGCCTCCATGTTATCTCCATTGGACAAACATTTTATAGGGATATATATAGTAGTAGCTTAACATATCAAGTTACTTTATTGCTTCCATTATTTATGTGATATAGTTTTAAATTTGAAGTCTGTCATTTGATTCTAAACTTATCATGTACATCATTGATGAATTATATGTTATTATGTGTTAAAAGTATAGTGAGAGGATTTTATTTAGAAACGAAAGTATAATGAAATGGGTACTTAAAATATAACAAAGGATATATTTAAACTTTTTTTATAATACAAAGTTATATTTGACTTTTCTATTTTTTATTTAGGTTGGTTATTTAATTAGTAAAGAGTAAAAATTTATTATAAGATATATCATTTATTAATCAATCATATTCTTTTATGTTTATTTTGTGACTAAGTTAGTTGTATTTTAAAGATAAAAAATGAAAAAATTAATTATCTTTTTTTTTCTTTTGATATATTAACAATGATAAGTCAAAATAATTTTTTTTTTTGAAATAATATATAGGAATAATTACATTTAAAGGCCATTCGGTAATCTTATTTACCAAAAATAGGGCCAAATTTTTCTTCAACCTTCGTCATCGTCTATTTAATTCTGCTCATCCTGCTCCCTCTGCTGCTGCTGCAGCATCCTTCTTCGTCTTCTCTTTAATTTTATTTTTTTCAATATTCGACGTATTATAAATATTAATCGTTTTGAGCGAATTATATATCAAAAGACTCAAAATATGAGAAGATTTCATATCTAAAATTTGGGACTGTTTAGAGGAGATTTTGAGTTGATCGAGATTGAATAGTCGGTATATACTTCATGTATACTTAGTATATATTTCATGTATAGTTAAGTTATATTCAACTTTTTGAGTGTATCATAATGTATAGTCAGCATATAGTTCATGTACAGATAAGCTATATTGTTAGTCACTGTATTTTTTTTAATGATTTTTTACTATTTATTTATGTAAATAAAATATGACTATATTTGTCATAAACTAATTACGTTTATTGTATAATTTGAAACTACCCCTAATACTGTTTATGTCCAGTCATAGTCGTCCACTATTGACTTGACACATAACTTAAGAAACAATAAATAATAAGAGTAATTTTACTATATTACCATTTGAATATATTAAATTTAAAATGCTTTGAAAAATGTATTAGTATTGAATAGTATTTAACACTAAGGGTAAAACAGACAAAAAAGGTTAAATTATCTTTTGATTTTTAAAATTGGACAAATATTATTGAACAACTATTTTTATTATAGTAGACAAGTAAAGATGGAGAAAAGAAGTATATAAATGGAGAAGTAAAAGTGAAGAGAGAGAGTATACTATTAAAGCATCATGAGTTAAGGATGTGTTTTATTAATCAATCTCTCCGTTAACTTTTACTTGTCATATTTGAAAAAATAATAATTAACATAACTATTTTATTACATTACACTTATTAATTAATATTTAATATTAAATTTTGAAAAATAAATAATTATATTAAAAATAAAATATGAAAAAAATAACTATATTTCTTTTATATGTTAACAGTGATAAATAAAATAAATAGGGGGAGTAATATATTCCATTAAAGTAGGAGATACAATTTTTAACATAAAGGTCCCACTAGTTATTTATTGTAACAAAATTTATGTACAACGGCTTGTTTAATGTAATCGAAAATCGGCTCCCCGTGCCCACTCCCTACACTCGGTCTATGCAATGAAAGTTTATGTACTTTTAGGGTGTGTTTGGTACGAACGAAAATGGTTTTTTGGAAAATAAGTAGATTTTTGACTTATTTTTTTATGTTTGGTTGGTGAGATAAAAAATATTTTTCAAAAAAGATTTTTAGTGTTTGATTTATGAATGAAAAATGTTTTTGAGAAATATCTTTTATTTTTACTAGAGTAGAAAATGATTTTTGAAATTAAAAAATATTTTTGAAAAACAAACTTAAATTTTCTTTTGGGGGTGGGGGCTGGTAGGGGGGGGGGGTTGAGGGTAGGGGTGAAAAAATAAAAATTTGAAAATATTTTTTAAAAACAAACTTAAATTTCTTTTTGGGGGGTGGGGGGGGGGGGGTCGAGGGTAGGGGTGAAAAGAATGAAATTTTGAAGTTGAAAATATATTTTAAAAACAAACTTAATTTTTTTTTCTGGGGGTGTGGGGGAGGGGTCGAGGGTAGGGGTGAAAAAATAAAAATTTTGGGGGGTGGAGGGCTGGTAAGGGGTGGATGGGGTCGAGGGTAGTGGTGAAAAAAATGAAATTTTGAATTTGAAAATATTTTTTAAAAACAAACTTAAAATTTTTTTAGGGGTGGGGGGGGGGGGGGGGAGGGAGTAGTTGGAGTGGATGGGTTGAGGGTAGGATGAAAAAAATGAATTTTTGATGTTGAAAATATTTTTTTAAAACAAACTCAAATTATTTTTTTGGGGTGGGGGGGATGGGGGCTGGCCGAGAGTGGAGGTTGGTTCGAGGATCGGGGTGAAAAAATAAAATATTGTTTAAAAACAAACTTAATTTTTTTTTGGGGGAGTGGGTGCGGGGGGGGGGGGGGGGGGGAGAGGGCGGGGGAGGTTGAGGGTAGGGGTGAAAAAATAAAAATTTGAAGTAGAAAATATTTTTTAAAAACAAACTTAAATTTTTTTTTTGAAGGGGGTGGGGGCGAGGGTATGGGGTGGGGGGGGATAAAAAAATTGAAATTAGAATTATCTTTTAAAAACAACTTTTATTAAAAAAAATTTGGGGGGTGGTGGTGGTAGGGGCTGGGGGTAGGGGTGAGGGTGGGGTAAAAAAATTGAAGTTAAAAACATTTTTTAAAAACAAGCTTTAAAATTTATTTATTTGGGGGGGGGGGGGAGGGGTGTTGGGGGGCTGGTTTGAGGGGTAGGGAAATAAATTGATTTTTTCAAAAAAAAAAAATGTAATTTAAAATTGGAAGAAAGTTTGGGAAAATGTTTTCCATAAGTTTTGAAGGAAAGACATTTTCCTTAAATTTGAGGAAAATGAGTTGATTTGGAAAACATTTTCCAAAATATTTAACCCAACCAAACATGTTCCTTCATATCAAACCCACCCTTATTTTAAAACATCGAAAATGTTGACTTACACTTAAATGGGATGTTTGATTACCGGTTAAAGATATGCAGAATTTAGCTATATAAGTATTACTGTATTAGTTATATAATATTTAATTATATAAAAGATTATAATAGCTAATGACCCAAAAATTATATAAGTACTACAAGTTTTAACTGAAATATTTAGAATTTTATCAAAAATCTAACTAAGTGATTTAAAAAAGAGAATTCACGTAAAAGTATATGTCCAAAAAAATTCTAAATCAATAAAAATATATATAATAAATCGATTTTATTTATTATATATATTGCAGATATATCTTCTAAATTAATTATCACAATTCATAATTATCAATTTGTATAATCATTTCATAAACTAAAATAGTTAATAAAATATAATATTTATTGAGCACCAATTTTCTTATATCAATTTTCATAGTCATTATACACATTGCATAAACTTAGAGTCGATTTGGATTAGTTTTAAAATAGTAGTTTTTAAGTAAAAAAAATAAAAAGTTGGGAGAGTCCTACTTTTGATTTAAAAATTTTTTTAAAGTAATTTTAAACTTATTTTAATTTATTTTTACATTTACCAAGCACTTTCAAAAACTTAAAATGACTTAAAAATAAGTTTGATCAACTTTTAAAGCAATCCAAACAAACTCTAATACATGTTTATATATAACCCCATAAAAAAATTAAGTAAATCAATTTGTATACAAATTCATCCGTATAGTTTGAGAGTACAAATAGTTTATGTTAAAAAAGGAGAACATACCATATTGATATATATATATTCCATATAAAATATAAATACACAATAAAATGAATTTGTATGGTAAAATAATGAAAACCTTCTACTCCCTTGTCCCATTTTATGTGGCACCATTTCCTTTTTGGTCAGTCCCAAAAAGAATGTCACATTTCCTTATATGATAAGTTTATAAAGGTACAATTCCTCTTTTATCCTTGTTAGTCCCATTTAATCTTAAAATAATACTCCAATACATTTATGAGGAGAGAGAAAAATGAGTCTACTTTTTAAATGGCAATTTGGTAAACATTTCAAAGTCTTCATTTATTTCTTAGACTCCGTGCCCGATCAAATGTTGCCACATAAAATGGGACGGAGGGAGTACTATTAATCCGTTATTCTTGTTTTGGATCCCATGGATAATCACTTCTTCCCGCCATAATTCTAAAATCATATAAATTAACACAGACCATATAACATAAGAGTAATGAAATTAAATGGGTTACTAATGAGAATTAGTTTTAAAATAATATTTTCTAATTTTGAGCCAAAAATCGTGCACGAGACATTTAAAATTTTAGATATGTTACGTATTGTAATAAAAAATTTAGTTTGTTAAATAGTAACAAAAATATATCTATGATTTTGTCAGCAGTTAAGAATCGAGACAAATCGAACGAACAACAAAGGAAGAGAAAATTGGAAAAATATTTAGGGGTCGCCTTTCATTCTGACTAACCGCCTTTCTCGAACCATGTATTTGTCTTTATACACAAAATATTATCGCACCTATTTCTATTACAAAAATGGGAAATATAAAATAGATAATAACAAGTGAGCTGCATCAGCTTGGACTTGCAGTTAGTTGAGCTGCAACTGTGTTCTTATTATGAGGTCGTCCAACACCCCTCAAGTTGGAGGGTGACAAAACACCCAACTTGGGCAGTACAACATGATGAACAAGGCCCGTGAGAGGTTTTGTAAAGAGATCACCCAGCTGAGCATTGGTAGGGACATGCATGATGAAGAGAAATAAGACCATCCAGAAGCTTAGTGCGAGTGAAGTGACAATCTACTTCAATATGCTTGGTACGCTCATGAAAGACAAGATTGTGTGCAATGTGTATGGCAGCCTGGTTATAATCACAAAAAGACCAACTGGAG